TGTATTAAGGTCTAGAACCGTAAAGCATATGATTTCTGACAGGCTGACATAAATGATCTTGTTGTCAGAGAAGCTTTTTTTGGTAAGTCCTTTTTAGCTCATAACTATGACTATCACTAAGCCAAAAATTACCAGTGCAGCCAGTGTGGTTAGGCAGGCTTCTTATCTAGGAAAAAAAAGACATTCAGTTCTTTCATTCAGCATGCTATATGGACTCATGAAGATAGTTTAATCATTCGGTAAAGAGTAATAATCACAAATGCCTGAGATCCTATATTCTCCTAAGCCTGTGAGACTCTTCTGCAATTTTTCTCTGGCCTCCCACTTTGCTGTAACACATTGTTGATGGTGGCTATTTAGAAATTGTTTAGAATACCTCCTTAAGCTCTGTAAAAAAAAAAAAAACACACAGAAGACAAAAGGATAGGTTATAGAGCTTAATGTTATGACCAGAAGCCAGAAAGAGCCTCTTCGTGTGCTTCACTTTTACCATCTAGAGGATACCTCCCTCACAAGGTTAGCTACCAAAGGTATAATTGAGCTAAAATATATCAAGGGTTCAACCTACCACCACATGTGCCCATAATTAATGTGCCTGTAGTGAGTGAGGTCCTTTTGCCTCCTTTCCACAGTCACACAAGTAATTCCACCAAAGTTTGAGCTACAGAGTATGGCTCTGTGATAAACATTGCCAAAAGGCCCCAGACTAGCGTGCCTTGGACAGACTGAATGTTGCTCTCTCTCTCTTTTCCCCCAATGGTCTTGTAGGCAAAGGAGAGATCATTTCCATTCTGGGAAAATATTACCAAGTAATAGTACAATTAGAGCTAATGTTTCAATGTTTTCACAAAAGTGGGAACCTGTCATTAATCCACCTGTAATTCTGTAAAAGTAAGCCACTCCTGAAAAACTCTACTCCAGGTAAGCAGAAATTCATTTTTTTTTTTTACAGAGAAAGACCAACAACCCACTCATTCACCTATTCCCTCCCTGGTGAAAACTCTAGGAACGTCATCTGTAGAACAAAGTGACAAATAAGCAGTACTCCCATTTCAATGTTCCAAAATTTCTATCCAAATGGAGATAACCAGCACACACCTCAGCTAAACTCAGTTTGCAGCATAAGGGCCTGCCCCAAATGCTTCTGTATTTGATGATGAGCAACTACTGCTTCTAGTTGCAGAACAACGTGCTCAGTTTCTGATATGAATTGGAAAAAAGGGAATTCTTACAAACTTCTCCACATCACTTAGGATAAAGTGTATTAGAGTAAAAATACCAAACTGTTTTCTTTTAAATTTGTATGAACTTTTGCTGACACAAACCAGAAAGTTTTAATGGTCTGTTACAAGGAGAATACTTGTCTTTTCAAATATTAAGTTCTAATGTGTCAAAAAAGAAGGGAGGGAAAGAGAGAAAGAGGGAAGGATGGGCGGAAGGGAGGGAGAGAAGAAAGGAGGGAATTACTAATCCTTGGTAATTCACTACAATCTTCTGAAGAGCACAATATTTTCTAATTATAACGTTTTCAAACTATAAACTATTAGGAAAGGTAATGGGGAAAGAAATCTTGATGTATTTGTCAGTACCAGATCAGAATACTCAGATGCTTCAAGAATTAATCAACTGATAGAGAGTTGAGCCAGTGACACTCAATGCTCTATGAGTGCTAACTCCTAGGCTGGTACCATGAAAAGCCATCAGCTTTGAAGTCTGACGTGGCTGTGAGGTCGAGTCCTAGTTACTCTGCTTTTGTTTCAAAGAAGCTAATTCAAATTACAAACCTCCAAGTTTGTATGACTCAATGCCAGCACAACCTGGTAGTAAAAGAAACCATTTCTGTAAATGCTTTGTAATGACTTTTTCATTAATTCGTAATTTTAAATGCACAATATATTTACTATTATAACAGAATGCACTATGTACTTCAATTGTCAGATTTGTGGCAAAGAAGCATCCTTGAATTATCATACTTGAGTACGTTGGTTCTCAAGAAACCTAGTGAGCAAACACCTTTAATATGTAGACATTTAGCAATAAGATTCATCATTTCCTGTCACACAATATAAAAATCATTAAGAAGAACACATCCACAAACTAATTAAATCAATACAGAATCTACCAGCAAACTCTATAAGGCTTCATGAACTTACAGGAATAAATGATGTGGATTCCACCTACTCCTAAATTTACCAGATGTCAACAATTTTTAAACATGCTTCACTGAGCTTCCTGTCTCACTGCCAAAGAAAGGGATTAACCTGAAAACACTAATTTAGCTTTTCAAAACTAGAAACTCAACCCACTGATAGTAGAATGTTGGTACCTTGAAGTTTGTGTATTGTTAAAATTAACTAGAGCCTTTCTTCTCTCAAATTTTAGAAATCATGGGAAAAGAAAAAATTTAACTGGATTCTCTAGCCCATTTGAGGATGCCTAATTATACATATTTGCCTCCACTGAGAAGCAAAGTACATATGTCTGTCTCAGCAATTTGAACTTAAAACTTAAATGCAAAATTGGCTTGGGCTTAGCCTATGAGAAAACATTCAATACAATAGATAACACCATGTACTCAAAAGACTATGCGGGTATTAGCCATTCTTTGAAAATGGATGAACATAGAAAAATACAATAAGTAAGCAAATTAATTGTTTTGTTATTAGCCATTTACTTCCTAAAATTACATTCTCAACGTAAAAGTACAAAATAGGAAGCAAAAAGACCACAATTCTCTTATGTCAATTTCTACAATAATTATCTCACATTTTCATACATAAAACTACTGAAAATATGTAAACTAATTTTACAAAGCACTATCTTTAAATATCTGAGGCAAGCACTTTTATTGTCCTTAATATTTTTATTTGAATTTCTTAGATTGTCACCTTATATGAATAAAAAAATCATCTGTTTTTATTTGGCCCTTTGTTTAAGGGCACTACCAAACCTATCTAGACTATTACCCAATGCATCTTGTATTTACTTGACATGCTTTTATAACTATCAGCTATAGTTTGTAATTTATACAACTGAGAAAAAAATGGAAAAGTTAAAGATAAAATTGACTCAGCATGAAATATTAATTACTAACTCATTTTTGTTTGGATTGTCTTCTAGTTTTAATAATTTATTCTTGAACTTGGGGCAATTTTTGGTTTTCTTAAATAGGATGTTGTAGTTTAATCCAATGTGTTACCAGAACACATAGAACATATAAGGAAAAGTGGTTGGATCACTCAATTATGTAATGTAATGTTTTAAAATAATGTATCTTAACTATTTTAAAATCATGTTAATTTATGAGATGATATGGAACTGGTGTTTTTCACATCTGTATCTGAGTAATTTCTCTACCATCACATGTAACCGCCTCATAGGAGAATTTATTTCAAGTTAATACACTAACATAAAAAGCAAATTATCATCTTCAAATTGGATATAAACCACTACTAGCCCAATCTATTATCACCTCTAACAAATTTCTTTAGATTTAGATAGAATAAAATAGACAGTTCTCCACGTCTCATCATTTAACTCATACAAGTTGAACTAACTTATGGTATACACAAAACGATTATGAGTCATACAAACTATGAACCAACTTAAATATTAGATTTATAAAAACTTAGTAATGGTAAGTTTTTACCCCCCCAAAATAAAGGTTTGATGTTAAATCTATTCAAAAGCGACAATTTTGCTTTTACTTGGGAGCAACTGAAAGAATAGGAAAACATCTATTAATTGTGGCAATATTCAAAATTTTAAATAATGTCTGAGTAAAAGCTTTTTGATAAACCATTAAGATAGTGATTGTGCTAACAATTTCAGTTAGTTTCTCTACCAAGAGCTCCATTATCATGTCACTGCATTTTAAAAGAATCTTTGCAAATAAATTCTGACTTTAAGGTTGTTTTTGAAGGCTTCCTTTCCCACTTCCTATTAAGGATTACATACTACTTCCTGATTATAACACATCATCTTTCTATTTGCTTTAATCATAAATTTTAAGTAGAAGAGACTCTTTCTTTTGAGAACAGAAATGAATGCAAAGATCAACATGAATCACTGGCATGTAAAGTTCACATTGTAATGAACAGTAGCACTTCTTCAAAATGATCAATTAGATGAATGGGTACAAATTTAAAAAAATAATAATAATAAAAGCAAGGAAGTTCCTTTACTTTTAACTTTCCCTGAGCAAAGTCAAATTTAAGAACTGAAAGGTTCTTTCTGAAACAAGAAGTATCCCCTGATGTGAAGAAGACACATATGTGACATGGAATTCTATTTTTAGATGTGTTACAACTTTCTCTAGTAATTAGGAAGCTATATGTCCCCAAAAGAATAATGCTAACAAGCTCCTGCAGTTTCTACTCTAGCAAGAAATCAAAGAAACTCAAAGCTGACAACTCACTTCAGTAAAAGGATTATGCTGTCTGGTTATTAAGGCACACAACACTTTCCTACACTTTTGTATCTGAAGAAACTTACTACAAGAGTCAGCTTTTACAGTTAACACGATTTACTAACTAAAAAGAAAACAAAGAAGAAAAAGTTGAAGTCCAGTCATGGAGTGATCTTTAAATATATATACACATGTTATCAGAAAAGGCCCATTTCTGATAACCTTCACATCTTGAAATTCTTTCAAAAGAAAAACATGGAAAGTTGTCATTATAATAAACACCTGTTTTTACTTTAGGCTCTTCATTGAGAATTGTCCTGTTTCTACCATTTATTGAGAGTTACTACTACACACAGTTGGTTTGTATCCTACTTTTGAAATACAAATTCATGTCCAAAGCACTAGGGATGACACTAATAGATAAGAGACTGATGGGCCCAATATACAATCAGATAAATGTTAAAATCTACACCCAATAAACATGTTACTTGTGGATCAGGGATTGATGAGCCAAATCTGCATTCAGATGAATTTAGAAACCTAGAAAAAGACAAAACAGGCTCCAGCCAACCACAGAGCCATGCTCACTTACCTTAAGGACTTCCATGGGCACCTGGGGGGCAGAAGGAAGGGTGGTGGGCACGCTGACGTTTATGGCTGGTGTCTGGCTCACGGGCACTCTCTGTTGCATGAACTGGGCGGCCTGCAGCTTCTGCTGCTGCTCTCTGCGCTCCTGCTCCTGCATCTGCTCACGCATGAGTTGTTGGCGTAGCAAGATGCGTGATGTCATGCTGGAGGAGCTTATCGGAGGCTTGGAGGCCCCAGGATGCTCCGCGGAACTGCTGTGGGAAAACCAGAATGCACACAACATTCAGTGTCCTAATGAGACCTTCTGTTTGCATCTTGGGGTACCCTCAATGGCACCAAGCTAGGAAATGAGATTGCAGGAAAAATCAGGGTGAGTGCCGAACAGTACTCCAACATAAATGAAAATCAAGAGGTGTCAGGATTTTAGTCATTCATAGTTGAGTTAAAATAAGTCAGCCTGATTGCATCTAGGCACGCTTTATCAAAGCGTGTTCTCTTGTTGTTTGACGTTCTATACAGCATATTACCTAATCATTGCCACCAATTATAGCAATGCCTATGCAGGACCAGAAAGCCATGCAACTTCATGGCACCAGGTTTCCAAATTTAAAAATAAATTACTTGGTTTGCTTTTGTAAAAAGAATTGAATGGAACCAACAGTCCCTCTTTGCTGGTCATCTGAACTCCTTGGCGAGGTCTAACATGTTTACAAAGTAGGAATTATTTAAAGAAAAGTTCAAGGTTTTTATGGGGAAACATTCTTAAGCATCTAGTATAATTCTTTGTTGAATTGCTGACTCAAGCCTTTGAACCTGAATGCTAACACTGAATTTGACCTGAGTCTTTGGGCAAGGGAAGAAGACAAGCTGGCCTGACAGCCCAGCCCTCCCCTCCTGATTTTCTCTGAACACTCTGCTCCAATTCCTCTTGGCATAACCATGGATATGACTGTTTTGAAATTTTGGGAAGGCCATTCGCGGGGACTTAAGACACCCAAAACTGTCTAACCAGCTTAAGCATTAGTCACAAATTCGTAAGAATCAAAACATCCTAATTTTTCTCATATATAGTTTTTGGTTGCTTATCTTGCCAGCTATATGACAGCATCAAGTAACTGACCTCTGTGCCTCAGTTACCATACTAGGAATCATATAAAATTGCATGTGAGGGGTTTTTTTTCTTTCTTTCTTTCACATTTCTATTGCATCACCGATATTTTAATGTCCTACTTCCTAGGATTTTGGTGCAGATTAAATAAAACAATGTACATAAATCCCCTATATAATAAGAAATATGTATTGTTGCCCCAATAAATATCTACTGTTATTTTCTACTCTAGAACAGTTGTTTGATTTCTCACAATATCATTTTTCAAGTTTATACTCAAGACGGCTACCGTAAAACCTTAATATCTGGAAACAGGGGAAAAAAAGAATACTTGAAACCCTATTCACACTTGAATCACTCATGCCTTAGTGGAGGTGCGCGTCTTGATTTTACTTCTTGAGAACACACCCAACACTGCCTCCACCTAACTACAAAGGCCAATGGAGTGCCATGGCCACTGACTGTCTTTGGCTGCTACCTTCAGACTCTGCAGGTGACAGAACAGGAGACAGGATGGAGCAGTTTACATTTCAGTCTCACACAGTCCCAGCAAAATCACACAGTAACAATTATACTCCAAGTTCTCTTATTTTTCACCCCAGTTACTTGGTTCAGAAATTAAAATACATTTATATAATTCTCTGTATTCTATATAATAACAAAGGTATATAAATGTATTTGTTGATGAGTCTAAAACAACACAAAAGTTCTAAAAGCCAGATGCAAAACAGCACTGAACATAGGATTCGATTTTATTAAAAGTTCACAACAACAAAAAAAGCATGATAATGTGGCTCTGATTCATTGTTGGTATAAATTAAAATACCTTACAGAAAATATTATCAAAAAGCTATATAATTTTTTTCAATTTGATTCAGACATTTTGTGAATGGACAATCTTCCTGTGTAAATAATTCAAAATGTGGAAAGTTTTATATTACAAAGCTCTTTACAAATTGCAAAACATTCTGAATCACTTCAATTTGTCACATACTATAAGAATTGTTAAGTAAATTCTGACACATGAATTCCATAAAGTACGATTTTTTAAAAAAAAAAACTGCACAACTCTATGGCATAATAGGAAATGCATGCAATTGGGATAAATTATAAAATAAGACTAAAAGGCACATTTTCAAGTTGATTCACAATGTACATGGCAGTATATGTGTATAAATACCCAAAATGACTAATAAAGGTATAAAAGATGGCGAGAGCCATAGGGGAGTGCAATTATAGGTGAATTTATAATAAAGCCTTACTGTTTTCAGTGGCAGAATATATGCAAATAGACACTATCCAGACATGAAGAAATGGCTCAGGTAATCAAAGCCTTGGGCAGAAGCAACAAGCCTGGATCATTCACGGACAGTATTCTGACAATAAAAAGGTACACTGTAACTACATTGGGTACATCACTTCTTATAATTTCCTTATCTCCAAAAACTTTAGGATTAAACCATCTTTCCCTTAGTGTTTTCCCCCTACATCTCCTACACATGCAGTGACCAGAGCTTCATTTATTACTTTAATGCCATGTACTGATCTGCACAATAAGAACACTCTCTAGCCACTAATCTATTCAAGGAAAATAATCTATTTACTTGCTAAACATCTACTAAAAGAGCATCAGAAGAAAATGGACTTTCTTACTTTTGAATATGTGTTCAAAGCTCACAGGTACTTTCTTAAGCCAAGGATGAAGGGGGTGGGGAGGAATGGCTATTTTAAAATAAATAAGTGGTCTTACTATTCAAAGCCTGTCAGGTCCAAACATTCCTGGAGAGACTGATCCTTTTGATAAAAACAGAAGCAAACCTTTGTACGATAGCAAATGCAGCTGCGGAATAATCGCACTAATTAGCTGCACAAGACAAGTCACTGGCCGTGATACTGGGGAGGAAAAATCCTTTCAATTAACAGTAAAGCATTCCTGAAACAAATTAAACTACTATCAACTGCACCAAGGCTTCATACTTGAAAGTCAATCAGAAAAGCACTTAAAGCATTTTCTGTATCTTTCCTGGGGGAAAAAAGATACATTTATAAAATAGACCAACACAAATACCTAAAAAACCTACTAAAGAAAATAGAGCAAGTATATTTTATATCCATGTAAGTATAACAAGGCTCAGCTTATTGACAATGTTTTAATAAAGAAAACATTGGAGTTGCTTCATTGCACAAATACAGCCTGCTGAATATTTCCAAGTTGTTGAGTCATACATCTTCAGCCTTTCCCTCCATCTTTTTGAACATACCTTTCTCTTAGAAATAATGGAATTTGCAATTATCACATCACAGACCTAAATGAAGGTATCTACATTTCACCACACTGCAGAACAAATGAGCACACTGTTTTAAACACAAATTGAGATTTCTGTGAGAATTATCCAGGTTGACTATAATGGTTACTTTAGCAGCAATGAGGATCTGGTGATGCCAAATGTAGTTAATTTTAAAAGTGAACAGCTCATCCTTGAGCCCATGAATCTCAGCCCTGGCTAGAAAATCCTAATTCCATGAGTCTGAATCCTTTTAATCAGATTATGTAAAGGTCATTTATCCAACAAACAGTCATTGCCAGGTGTTGGGAATACCTGGGATTTAACAGCTGAAAGTCATGGTCACATTATTTCTTAGGAGATGTCTTAACATTAAGTCAATTGTCTCAAATGTTTGGACTCTGATCTAGTTCCATTCGGGAAAAGAAATCTGCCTCCATCAGAAAGGAAAGACAACTATCACAGAGGCAAATGCCTTTAGTGCCACTTCCAGAGCCAAATACCTCTCCTTGACTACGGGAATTGTTCCATGTTGACTCAAGAAAGACATCATTGAACAGTCTCAAGTTCTAGCTCAGTCACTGCTGAGGAATGACCTTTAATCAGCCACTTGACATCTTTGGGCTTCTCCAAAACCCACCTCCTCTTTGGAGTGAGCCAAAATGTTATCTAAACTAAGGTGATCAGTAAAATGACTGAAAAGCAGCATATGGACCAATGGTGGCCAATGACTTATGATCGGAGTTCCTACCCCTATGGCTGATTATTTTGAACCTTTGGAGTATCTTCCTTCTCTACAATGTTACAGGTACATTGGACAGGGACTCTGAATTCTGGTGCATTCCTCAATCCAAATAGTTTACTGATGTTATCAACCACTTGTAAGAATCAGAAATTCCACTAGGTCCCATATCCCAACATCTCACCACTGACCATCTGCCTGACCACCACTGACCTTTGTCAATGCCTCTTTATAAGACCCAAGAATCAGTGCTGGTTCTCAGGAATCCAGTCACTTGGGATTCTAGAAGATGTTTCCTATCTTCAATTCTTGGGCTCAGCCACACACTTACCTGTAACTGTGGCCTCATGAATTCATATCGTTCCTTACACTATGGCTTTTCTTACTCAGAGCATGTTTAATACCTTGCCCAGGAGTGAAATTTGTAGTAGACATAAGAAGTTTAACATGATGGGGGGGAACATGGTAAAAATTATAATATTAAGCTATAAAAGTGTTATATCTTTTTTATACAAAAAAAGCACAATCTTTTATAAGCCTAAGTTCATGTTGGAAGCATACAAGGTTTGTCTCATCGAGTTTAAGCAATCCCTGCTTAATTGTGAGAACTTCACCAAGTTCTACAGGGACAGACAGAAAAGATAATTCCATTCGCATTTCTCTTATATGAGCCATGAAATTTTTCTAGGAAAAATATAATCTTCGTGATAACCATTCGGTTGGTGGGGCTCAGACTCAGTTGTTTACTTGCAGTCGGGAATCATTTACTTATCCTCATGTGACCCTGTGGCTGGAGTTCACATGGGGCAGAGACACAGGAAGACCCAGTAGTATTCACTTCACATTCAGGTAAGAACATTATCTCACATCTAGGCAAGTTACAGCAGCAAGGCACTGTGGCACGTTCCTGTAACCACAGCGCTTGCAAGACAAGGCAGGAGGGGGAGTTTCTAAAATGCAAAAAGTTGATCGTCACAACATCAGCTGGGGATACTATCAAGAGTAAATGTCCCCATTTCCATGGCTGAACATTCTAATTTTATTATAGACAAAACCCAGGAACCAGTTTGTCTACAAAGATTCTGCAGCTGATACTGATACTTGGCCATGTTTGAAAGC